GCCCTTTCCTTTTGGGGAGAAATTTGGCCTCAGTTCAGATCATATGGTTCCAGTATTGCCCCGTCCCCAGTGGTCAACAAGATGAAGTCAATACTAAGACTTCCTAGGAGTGAGCCTTCCTAGCACTGTGAGAACACACTATCTGACCAAAAAGTCAGTCATCAATGCATTCATCATGTTGATTTATTACCAAAAGGGGAAACTGTGAATGAAAAAAAAGGGGGTTCTATAGAAAGTAACCTTACATAGTGATCTGATTGTGTTGTAATTATCTATACTAATAAAACAGTAATATGCTAATTAGACCGGGAGACCTTCCGGAGACCTTCCGGACAAAGCCTGGGGCTTGCCTGGCCTGCAAACCACCCCCAAACGGCCCTCAGCCCCTCTCCCAGGCCGGCCATGCCCCCCTGCAGGAACCCCCACACCAATGGGGGCGTGGCCAGCCTATAAACGGCCCTCAGCCCCTCACTCAGGCTGGCCCCACTCCCAGCAGAGACCCCCCTCATCCTGATGGGGGCGTGGCCAGCCTGCAAACCGCCCCAGTCCCTCGCCCAGGCCAGCCCTGCCTCCCAAAGGACCCCCACCCTGATCCTGGACCCCTTCAGGACAGACCAGCTGGCCCCCACCCATGCACCAGGCCTCTATCTATACTAATAAAAGGGTAATATGCTAATTAGACTGGACGTCCTTCCGGACAAGGCCATGGTGGCGGGGCCAAGGCAGAGGCAGTTAGGGGTGATCAGGGCGGCAGGGGAGAGCAGTTAGGGTGATCAGGCTGGCAGGGGGTGCAGTTAGGGGTGATCAGGCCAGAAGGGAGGCAGTTGGGGGTGATCAGGCCAGCAGGCAGAGTGGTTAGGGGCGATCAGGCAGGCAGGCAGGTGAGTGGTTAGGAGCCAGCTGTCCCGGATTGCGAGAGAGTGCAGGCCAGGCTGAGGGACACCCCCCCCTCCATGCACGAATTTCGTGCATCAGGCCACTAGTACATATATATGATCTCTACAGAACTGTATTTATACATTTTTCTGTTATATTTTGATTTCCATCATTCTATGCAATGTGTTGGTATCATAAATACGGCTCACTCATAGCACAGATTTAATCCCAAGCAAACTTCTAAGCATAAACTGCAGATAGTTAAGTGTTCTGAGGAGAGAATGGGATATACTGTGGAGACAACAAATAAGCTGTTAAAGATGTGGAATACAAACTCAAAGATCTCAGAGTTGCAAAAAACTTTAGAAGCCATCAATTCTTACTCTCTAAAACAGACTAAAGAGACTTTCTCTTATAGCCCAGATGGAGTAACAGGGACCAGATTTACTCTCACACTTGAAATAACCAAAAACAAACAAACAAAAAACCCCGCCAAATATGAAACAATGGTTTCAAGATACTGAATACTGGTAATAAAAGAGAGTGATCCCTGGAGAAACAAGAAACAATTGCCCAACTTACTGCCTTAGTTCCAGGCCATAGCACAGGTAGCAGAAACTAAGCAGAGCCCAACAGACTCCTTAAGCTGCTGAGATGGAGCTGACAGTCTGGGCAGACCAAGGCAACTAGGTTCAAAGAATACAATCTGAGAGGTGAGATCTGCACAGAGAGAGAACTCCAGAGATCTGAAGAGGACAGTCTTTGGGAATTCAGCAGAGCATTGATAAGTGCAGGCATGTGAAAAAATTGATGCTAAGGAAAGAACCACACAAACAGTTAGAGGACACAGAACTCAGCACTCATATAGGGCCAGGAATAGTGCACGTTCCCACCAGACAGACTGGAAAACCTCCCAAATTCATGGGGAAATGAAATGGGAAGAGTATTCAAAAGGGTCTTGTCTCTAGACTAAACATGGTTCTGGTCCTGCCTAACAAATCTTTTTAAAAAAATCATTTTGAATTTTCAATTACAATTGATTCACATTATTATATTAGTTTTAGGTGTACACCCCAGTGATTAAAAATAACTTACTAAATGATCATCCTGATAAATCTCACACAATACATAGTTATTAGAATATTACCGACTATGCTGTACTTTACATCCCCATGACTATTCCATAACAACCAATTTGTACTTCTTAATCCCTTCACCTTTTTTACCCATCTCCCAACCCCCCTCCTATCTGGCATCCATCAAAAAGTTCTCTGTATCTATGAGTTTGTTTCAGTTCTGCTTGTTATTTATTTTGGTTCTTAGATTCAATTGTTGATAGATAGATATGTATTTATTGCTGTTTTATTGTTCATATTTTTTCTTTTTCTTTGTAAAGAAGACCCTTTAACATTTCATATAATACTGGTTTGATGGTGATGAACTCATTTAGCTTTTTCTTGTCTGGGAAGCTCTTATCTGTCCTTTCATTCTAAGTGATGGCTTTGCATTATAGGACCTTGCTTTTCATCATTTTGAGTATTTCTTGTCACTCCCTTTGGCCTGCAAAGTTTCTGTTGATAAATCAGCTGACTGTCTTATGGGAACTAGCTTGTAGGTAACTAACTGCTTTTTTCTTGCTGCTTGTTTTTAATTCTCTCTTTGTGTTTAACCTTTGCCATTTTAATTATGATGTGTCTTGATGTGGGCCTCTTTGGGTTCATCTTGTTTGGGACTCTGTGCTTCCTGAACTTGTATGTCTATTTTCTTCAAGTTAGGGAAGTTTCCTGTCATTTTTTCAAATATGTTTTTAATTTCTTGCTCTCTCTTCCCCTTCTGGCACCACCACGATGCAAATACAGTAGGTCCTCGGGCTACATCGGAGATCTGTTCCTACCGTGCTACGTGATGCGATTTTTGCCGTAAGTCGGAACCCACCTACATAAGCACCTATGTCACTCACATGGAGCACATGCACAGCAGTAATGAAGTGAAACAGTAAAAAAAATTTAAAAGCAAGATAACAATTCCTGACCTTTACTTGTGGTAAATAAATAATAAAAAACATAAAGCACATATGTACATATGTCGAAATGACGGAACTTTTTTCTTTTTATAAATATTGTAAATGAGAGATGGCAACGTAACCACGAAACAACATATGTCGAGTCTGTCATAATCCAAGGACTGCCTGCATTGGTTGAAGTTGTCCCAGAGACTCCTTACACTATCTTCTTTTATTTGGATTCTTTTTTCTTTTTGCTGTTCTGATTGGGTGTATTTTGCTTCCTTATATTCCCAATCGCTGATTTGATTCTCAGCTTTATCTACTCTACTGTTTTGTTTTTTATTTTTTTAATATTTTTTATTGATTTCAGAGAGGAAGGGAGAGGGAGAGAGAGACAGAAACAACAATAATGAGAGAATCATTGATCGGCTGCATCCTGCATGCCCCCTACTGGGGATCGAGCCCACAACCTGGGCATGTGCCCTTGGCAGAAATCGAACCTGGGACCCTTCAGTCCGCAGGCCAACGCTCTATCCACTGAGCCAAACCAGCTAGGGCTGTTTTGTTTTTTAGATTCCACAAATAAGTGAAATCATATGGTATTTGTCTTTCTCTGTTTGACATATTTCACTTGGCATAATACTCTCTAGATCTATCCACATTGTCACAAATGGTAAGGTTTCATTCATTTAATGGCCCAGTAATATTCCATTCTATATATGTACCGCTTTTTCTTTACCTGGTCATTTACTGATGAACACTTAGGTTTGGGGTCTGGGTGAAAAAGGCAAAAGGATTAAGAAGTACAAAATGGCAGTTGTAAAATAATCATGGGGATATAAAGTATAGCATAAAGAAAATAGTCAATAATATTGTAATAGCTATGTAGGGTGCCAGGTGGGTACTATACTTATCAGGGGGAACACTTCATAAGTTATATAAATGTCTAATCACTATGCTGTACCCCTGAAACTAATATAATGCTGAATGTCAAGTGTAATTTTTTTTATAAAGTATGAAAAGACAAGCCA